ATCCATGGGCCCTTTGCACTGTAGTTCGAACAATAAAATTGAGTATTGAAAAATGTTATTGCTTAATTTTAGACCGACTGGTAAACTTACTGTGCTTCCACCTCCTATTGTATCTCTTTCGGAGAGAAGACAAAATACTCGTAAAAAGAAATTATATGTAGCAGAAGATGAATCTTTTCATGATATTGAACCAGTCAAGGTAATGTTGTGTAAAATAATTTTAATAATTCTATAGATTATTAATATTTCTTTATTTTTTTTAGTGTGCAGTAACAGATAAACCTACGGAAGTGAAAATTCGCAGTTTAAGATCTAGGCGAAAATGATAAATTGTATATCGATTAAGAATGAGTTATCATAACTGATCACTATTAAAAATAAAGGAACGGAGTAATTACAGCTCCGATATTTTTATGTAAAAAGTTACGTTACAATGCAAGATATGCAATCTGTAAGAATTCTTTTTTATTATCTGTAATTTAAGGCATACTGTGAGATGAATAATTAAAACCAGTATTTTTGTATCGTTAAGTTATTGTCTATATTAAAATAGTATATTTTTTTAAGTACCGCATGGCTTTTGTTGTTTATTCTACTAAGTTCTGGAGTGACTTTAACCAGTGACGTTGTAACTTCAGCTTCGTGGCGTTACTTGAAAAGTTTATGCACAAGAAAGTACAGCATCAACAGTTACCATATAATTAATACGTTACAAAATTATTAATGATCAGTAGAACAACTTACTGTCGAAAGCCTACACCACCTACACTATCTCGAAATATATGGGTTATATAGATTATATAGATTTTATTCATTGGTCTAAATACTTGATTAAAAGTTTATAAAATTATCTGAAATAGCGCTAATTATGAATTTATTTATTTACGACGTTTTTCGAGTTTTACAAAATTTTTGCTTTCCAATTAAAAGCAGACGTAAATATGAACATTAAAGTAACAAGAAAATGTCACTCTTTGCTACCATCAAGAACGAATCTTTGACACATTTCAGGAAGTTTCTAGATTCGCAAGGGAACAGTATTCTTCCTTGGGCGAATGTCGACCATTTTCTGCATCCATTTCTCTCGGCCATTTGGAAAATGTGTTTCTTCTC